AGACACAGCTGAAGGAGGGGTGGATTCCAGTCAGCTGAACCCAGACAAAGCCAGGAAGCTGATCCCACTCAGCCAGTTCAGGGAGAGCAAGATTTCCACAACAATAAACACATCTGATTACCAGGAAAACATGGTCTTTGAGCAGGGCCTTGCACACAAAGGGAGACTAGCTCCTGCGCCCTCTGAATGGGAAGTGGCCGCTGTGACAGAGCAGGAAAGAGAAGTGCGCTGTCTCTTAGAAACTTTGATCAGCCACTCTTAATTATGCAGGCTCCGAAAACTGATGGCAACAACAAGATTCCCACTGGGGAGAGTTGGAATGTCTCTCTCCCACCTACCAGGCTCTCCGCTCTGCCTCTTTGAAATCCCTCACTGCCACCGGCATGGGGTTCCAGCAGCTGGCCATTCAGCCTCCTGCGAAGTTCCTTCCTTCCAGCCCCTCGCCAGTCTCAGCGAGCTCCCTTCTAATCCGCTGCTGCAGGCAAACACCGTCAGGGTGGGACTCTGTTCCCCCCCACCACACACACAGGGCATCAGAGAGTGCCTTGTGTTTCTGAAGTGTACTCATCTGGGTCTCCCTGCAAACAAGCCTGAGCAAAAGAGGCCCTTTCATCCACTCATTATCCTTAGACCAGACCGCCAGACAGAGAGACTTCATAGTGCCAGGCGAAGTTTGATTCTAATTTGGTAACAGATTGCGGATGAGCAAAGGCGTCAAAGGGCAAGTAATGAGAGCATCTTCCAATTCCACCTCTCGCGGCGCTTCAGTCGTCTGTTCACAGTAACAGGCAGTCTGGTGTTTTCCTTCTTTTTTGGATCTCTCTGTTATTGTGTCTATTCGAAAAACAAGAGTCCCAGAGACGGGGGTCCCCGCAGAGCTATAATATCGGCTCAGTCTGGTGAGAATCCTTTATTTAGCGGGACATTTCGAACAGCTCCTTCGCCTTGCGCGGCGGACTTGCCAATAGTTATGGAGAGGCCTCTGCTGCGGTGCCTGCATTTTGATGGATTAGTATAACCCTCCTCTTGGTTTGTATAAGGCTAATAATTATCCTGCATGAGCACTTCACTGGGAAAGGATATCATTTGGCTGTTGTTGATAGATTTTGCATCTTTGCAACTTTCAGTGGTCTGCAGCAGCTAACAACCAAAGCCTTCCTGCTGTAAATACCTATGCATGAGTAACTTTACACATGGGAGTAGTCCCATCTTACCCCAAGGGATTACTCGTGTGTGTAAAGATTTGCAGGATTAGGGCTCACATATATATTCCATCAGACTGCACTACAATAAACTGCAAAGGTGACCCTTCATGTAACTGTATTTGGCCCAGGGCATCATAGTATCTGAAAGTAATAACAATGCTTGACACTTAAAGTGCTGCTCATCTGAGGATTTCAAAGCACTTTACAAATGTAAATTAATGAATTAAACCTCACACACTTTTGTAAGAGAATTAAACATTAGTGCACCTGGAATGGAAGTGGGCAAACAACATGGAAAAATGCACTGACGCTCCAAGGCAAATTCAGCTAAACCAAAAAAGATCACTGCTCTTCTGAGTAAGAGTGTTCACATGGGGAGTTATAGTGGTATAATTATATAGAGCTAGTAATGCCAGTAAGTTTTCCCATGTAGACAAACCTGAAGGTCTTGTCTAGGTTATGTTTCACAGTTTCGATAATTACATCTGAAAACATATATTAAAAATCAACTCCAGTCTTCACTTCTTATTCTGGGTGTTTGCTTTCTGAAGAACTCTCAGCTTGGATGAATTGCAGAACAGATGCAGTAGCTACAGTTTAACTGAAATGCAGCTTTTTGCTCTTGGCTTGGATGAGATGCAGAATAAGCCATTACAAAGTCATTTTTATTTGCAATTGTTTTTTAATCAGTTTCATTTTCTGGTCTCTGGTAGGAGCACAGAGCCGGTGAATGTTTGCAGCCATTGCTACTTGCACTATCCTGCTGACGCACATGCAGGGAAGAGAAATGGTAGACGTATTCGGTCTCCCCTCTGGTTGTCAGAAATAATCTGAACCGTTCAGTTGCTGGGGAATGATGCTGCTGCATGTGCTCACAAATGGAAAACAGAGCCTCACATCAGTGTAGGTAGGTAATCCACCTCCCCAAAAGCTGGTAGCAAGGTCAGTGGAAGAAAACGTGCATTAACCTAGCACTGTCTACATAGAGACTTAGGTTGGCTTAACTATGTCACTCAGGGGTGTGAATTTTTCATACCCCTGAGTGACATAGTTAAGATAACTAGGGTTACCATACATCCTCTTTTTCCCAGACATGACCGGCTTTTCGGCACTCAAACCCCCGTCCGGGGGGAATTGCCAAAAAGCCGAACATGTCCGGGAAAATGGCAGCTCTGCTCCTCCCCTGACTCTTTGGCTCTGTTTAAGAGCCGAGCTGCCCGAGTGCTATGGGCTTCAGGCAGCCCCCTTGCCTCCAGACCCCAGCCGCCAGCCGGGCACTTCCCCTCCCGGGCTCCAGCTGCGCTGGGGAAGCACCGGCCAGGGGGGCAGGGTCTGGGGGCTGCCCGGCAAACCATGAAGCTGGTAGCGCTTGGGCAGCCCTTTCCGCGTGGCTGGGAGTGGGAGGGAGGAGGGGCGGAGTTAGGGCGGGGAAGGGACGGAGTTGGGATGGGGGTGGGGGAAATGGGCGGGGCCAGGGCTCGTGGAGGGTCCTCTTTTTTTATTTATTAGATATGGTAACCCTAAGATAACCTACTTTTCTAGTGTAGACCAAGCCCTACTGCCATTTTCAGAGTACAGCAGAACCTCAGAGTTATGAACACCTCGGGAATGGAGGTGGTTCGTAACTCTGAAATGTTCGTAACTCTGAACAAAACGTTATGGTTCTTTCAAATGTTTACAACTGAACATTGATGTAATACTGCTTTGAAACTTTACTATGCAGAAGAAAAACGCTGCTTTCCTTTTACTTTTGTAGTAGTTTACATTTAACACTGTTCTATACTGTATTTGTTTTGTTGTTGTTGTTGTTTTTGTGTCTGCTGTTGCCTGGTTACATACTGCTGGTTCCAAATGAGGTATGTGGTTGACTGCTCAGTTCGTAACTCTGGTGTTCATAACTCTGAGGTTCTACTGTACTTGGCACTGTACAGTCCCTGCCCAAAGGACTTCACATCCTAAAATGCTCTTTGGTGGGTCTCATGACTTTTCAAGACGTTTCTTAACTGAGGGCGAGGGTGACCCAGGAGGTGGGTGATGGAACAGGGGATGTGGTGAAAACAGGTTTCCTTGGTAAAGACTGAATGAAAGGTAGGACCCTACCAAATTCATGGTCCATTTTGGTCAATTTCACGGTCATAGGATTTGAAAAATTGCAAATTTCATGATTTCAGCTATTTAAATCTGAAATGTCATGGTGTTGTCATTGTAGGGGTCCTGACCCAAAAAAAGGAGTTGAGGGGAGTTCACAAGGTTATTGTAGGGGGGTTGCAGTGCTGCCACCCTTACTTCTGCGCTGCTGTTGGAGGCGGCGCTGCCTTCGGAGCTGGGCGACTGGAGAGCGTCAGCTGCTGGCCAGGCACCCAGCTCTGAAGGCAGAGTCGCTGCGAGCAGCAGCACAGAAGTAAGGGTGGCATGATATGATATTGCCACCCCTTTCTTCTGAGCTGCTGCTGGCAGGGTGCTGCCTAGGGTGACCAGATGTTCCGTTTTTAAAGGGACAGTCCCATTTTTTGGGATTTTTTTCTTATATAGGCACCTATT